ACTTGTGTCCGGGCACTGAGGGGCACTGGACGAAGTGGGTGTCTTCCAGCCGCTCTCGGCATAGGGTACAGCACAAGGGGGCCCCAGGGGTCGCCCCGGTGCTGCTACCACCCCCGCTAACCGCTTCCGCCCCTGCTGTGGGGCTAACTTCTGCCTCACCGTTGCGGGCCACTAGACGATGCTGGGCTGGAGGCTGGGCCGTGGAGGAGGCTGCGGGACTGGCACCCCCTGCACGCACAGGGCCCCCACCCCCGCCAGGGTCCTTGGGGGAGTGGCCCAGGGCCTCGGCCACGTTCTTCAGGGCGGCGATAGGTGAGGGCACACCCGGAGTATCAGTGGAGTACGGGCCACCAGGTGCCACCCAGTGCCGCTGCTGCTGCTCCTCGGTGGTCATCTTCCCAGCCGCCTCGCCCTCGGGCTCAGGAGACGCCTTGCGACGGCGTGGTGTGGGCGCCAGGTTCCGGGATGGGGCTCGTGGAGGTGGGCCACATAGAGCTGCAGGGGCTGGCTCTGGGTACTGCTGGGGCAGGGCCTCGGCGGGAGCTGGTTCTCGGAAGCTGCGGACACCATCGGTTAGCAGCTCCCCCAACTGGCGCCATTCCCCCGAGCCGTGCCGGCGTTCATATTCGAGGTACTTGAAGCCTGATGAGGCCAGTGCCTTGCCCGGCTCCCGCAGAGCATCATGAAACATCTGACGAGCCACGGCCAGGACTCCTGCATACACGTTGCCAGAACCACAGGGGTATTCGGTGAAGAGCTTCAGCTCGAACTCATAGCCTGGCGGGCGGGCAGTAGCATCGAAGGCGAACACCCGCCCCACCAGCCCGTGATCCTTCTTGAAGCGGACATTGAAAGGGGCGCAGGCAGACAGCGCCAGCAGCTGTTCCCGCACAGCTTTGGGGCGCCCGTGCCATTCCTCTGCCCGGCCCCTCATGGCCTCGTTCAGTTCTGCCAGACAGTCCGCATTCCTCTGCTGCTTCTCCTTCTCGAAATCGGAGCCGAAGGCTGGACGGGCAGGACTCAAGCCGGGTGCCAGCGTCAGGCCTCGGCTTCCCAGGCCAGACACCGCAGCTGCCAGCAGCCCGGGGGGCATCAAGCCAGGCATGGAGCCAAGGAGGGCCCTTCGCGCCCCCTCCGCCACAGCCTCCTCGCGGCCCAGCCCATTAGCCAGGCGAGACCCCAGAGTGTACTCCAGGGCGGGAGAGGGCAAGGGGAGGCGGCCCGACGATGTGGCCCTGTCATAGCGGTCCTGGCCCGAGACAGCGCCGCCTGTCCCCGACGGCTGGGGCTGGGCCTGTGGAGGCGGCAACTGAGGCCCCTGTGCGGTGGCGGCAGCGAGGTCCTTAGTGGCCGGGTGTTTGAGAGCCGGGGGCCCGGGTGAGCGGCCCTCGGGGAGCACGTGGCTGCGCTTGAGCTGGCGGGCGGCATCGATGAGCAGCTCGATGCGATCTGCGCCCTCGAAGTTCACGCAGCCACGGCACACGGCCTCACTGAAGTCCCACACCATGGCCCACGGCATCTTAGGCAGGTCGCACAGGTAGCACCACTGGCGGCGAGACGCCTGCACCGACGCCATAGCCCCCGAGCGCGCGCCTCCGGGCCCCCGCGTTCCAACCGCCGCAGACGTTCGATTCTAGCCGCCGACGTTCGATTCGTGTCCCCAGGACCGCGCGAGCCACGGTCGGGCCTCAGGCT